CGGGAACCGAGAAGTTCAGCGAATCGCGATGGGAAACCAACTGCGACGCAGGCTATGTGGAAATGAACTCTTAAATGCAGTGAATGGCTTTCAGTTCACGCGATTCTTTCTCGAATTTTAGTGTTAATTGTAGTAATTGTAGTGATAATGGTTAATTAATATTGTCTATAATAGTGTTGAGACGTAACGAATAGCAGCACTAATCCCTCGAGCATTCAATTGAACAATCGATCGCGATAACGTTATTGTAGAATATATCGATTCCATTATATAATTCTATGCAACCGTAATAATTATACTATTGACCTAATTTTCCTTAGTTTTAGGGATCAACGGTAGATTAATTAATATTATCTTTAATAGTGTTGAGACGCAACGAGCAGCAACACTAGTGCTCGAGCATTCAATTGAACAATCGATCGCGATAACGTTATTGTAGAATATATCGATTGCATTACATGATTCCGTGTAACCGTACTAATTATTCTATTAACCCAGTTGTCTTTAGTTTTAGGGAATAACGATAGGACGCAGCGGTCACGGTGTATTTGTAATTACAAACACGATGTAACTCGCGTTTACAGTTTCATGACGGACGCAGGGGTAGGGTCATCGGAGCTGGAATCATGGCGGGCAGGGAGAATGCCCATTAGCGGCAGATGTGTCACTTTGGAGGCGACTTCCTGAATAGTGGATGCCTCGGCTACCCTGTTGATGTACTAATCAGGTAAGCAGCTCGAAGACAATGCATGATGTACGAGCAATTCGAGCTGACCAGCCTCTGGGTTCGCGCGAGCTCGTTTCGACCAATAATCGCGCCTGGCCTGCCATCGACCGACGAACCAGACGAATCTACACCAGAATTGAATACAACGAGGAAAGTATTTCGCGCTCAACTATCCAAGTCTTTTCCAGCAAAGATCAATCGCTTGAGAATCAGTTGTCAATTATTTGGCATTAGTCTCTACGTTACGCTATTATATATTCACCATTAGATAATTATCTATTGCTTAATTTTTATTGATGCTTATTGTCACCACTTCTTGCTAGATCTAGCACTACTACCGAGCATTTGATACGACTGAAATGTAATCGCTATGAATATTAGTCATAGATTATTTCCGGTTTCTTCAGACGTTCATTACAGTATTCAAGTGAAACTATTTTCAAGATCATTTCGAATATTCGATGCTTCGATATCAATAATTGCGAAACAGGAAAACCTAAACCAGTCATCACGGTAGTTCTAGTGCTAGTTATCATTACTATACTCTATTACACAATTATTTCCAAGGAATTCGAAGACTCCGTTCATCGAACAACTCGAGTCCAACAATCATCCAGGTTTCCCATTGATCTTCGCAAAGGAGAAACCGAGCAGCGCTTCGCCGGATCGAGCGTTCCCGAGGACCACGGAACGGGGCAAAGAGATCGAGAAGGTGAGCGAACGACCACTGGATCAAACCGAATCCAATAACTCCCGCGGGATTACAACTGCGACCCTCGGGAACGCTCGGGTTCTCCCCGAAGACGTGGAGGTTGCGGCGCGGAGGAAACCAAGGGGAGCGACGGGAGAACGGAGTGGGAAAGGTGTTGGGATAAGGGAAGGTGGCTGAGAAAGGTGGATCGTCGCCGGGCTGGGATATTTCGTCGGGGCCGAGCAAACCTTATATCGCAGCCCGCATTCGTATCAGGTACACCGAGTAAACCTGCCCCGCTCGGGCTCCATACCCGGCGAAGAAACAACGGCGGCTTGTCTGTTGATTTTCTGGCGAATTTTCCGACTGCTTACCGTGACCGGGCGCACGAGGAATCGACAACACCGAGGCGATTTTTTCCTACCGGAATCTACTCGCTGCGTCAGACGGTAACAACGAGAAGCGAGTCACTGATGAAAACCCTTTGCACTCGAGAAGTTTTTCGGAAATATTCAATATTTTCCAACGAGATACAGACGACATTTTCTTAGATTGAATTAACACAAACTACCAGAGGGGTCAAATAACCTATGCCTGATGTCTTCTTTTCGCAATTATTAGGAAGGTAACAAATGTTTCTCTGAGAAATTATTAAAAATTCATTTAGCACTATGCGAATTGAATTGTAAATCAATTAAAGTCTGAACAGATGCACTCTTGGAGTTTCTACAGGGAAATTTTGAAAAGTCAATTGAACTCGGTAGTTTTAGTGTTAAGACATCTCACATGCATCGAGAACTATTTTCTTTCAATATTTCGTACATTGATGCACTATGCGAAGTTTAATATTAAATATCGGAGTTCGCAGTTTTGCTGTGTCAGATCATTTGGTGACTTAGAGGCGCCTCTGGGGTGCAAAGGTTAACCCTTAGCAGTCCCGTGTCGAGTCTGACTCGACATATTTTATTGCAACCTCTACTTTAACAATTTTTTCTATATTTATTTGTAGTATCAAAATGTACCATTTAAAGGTAACACTTCAATGACTCCCAAATATTCTCGAATAAATAAATAGAGCGTCATATCAAGCTGCAATTGAATGAACCGACCGCAAAGGGTTAATGTTCGAATATTTTCGATATTTCAGTGCTGGAATATTCGACTTTGCAAACATTACGTGTTAACGAGGATAAAATGAGCTACACGTAGCCCGGTGAACCAGCACCGAACACGTGCGAATGATCTCACGAATGACCTCTGTTAGCCCAGCGTCCCGTCAGTGGAAAGAGATTGATATGCAAATGGAGACACAGCGCGAGCCGATAGGTCTGGAGCCACGGTAGCTGTTGCCGGGCGTGTGCGCTAATTCCATCAGCAGTGCTTGGTAGGCCAATACGAGTCTTCCTAATTATTCTCACGACGCTTCGAGGTGTACAGGTGCGCGATGCGTCCATTAGGAACGTTGTTCCAATGTTCGGAGAGCGGTGCGGCCGGCTTCATCAGAACTCAAACGACTCATTCGGGAATAATTTGTCTACTTCAACGGCGAACGGAGCCCCTATTTTCCTGGGGGAACATTTTCAAGTCGGGAATCGTTGATCTCGTCGCGATAACGAAAGTTTTCTTCCTCTCGTTCCCGTTCGAGCCGAGTTTCCACGGAAATCCGCGACTTTACGAACGCGCCGGCAAAGAGAGAGAGACAGAGGAGGATGGAAAAGGAGAGGAAGAAAAATGGAAAAAGGAAGAGAGGGGTCGAAAGAGTTGGAAGTTTTCAGAGCGCGGAGGTCGAGGAATGAAAGGGCTTTTAATGCGAGAATCACGGGGCGAGACCGCAACGGCACGATTAAAAAAGAATAACCGGTCGGCCGGCGGCCGCGGCGCACGTCGAAACCGGCAACAAATGTAAAAACTGCGCCGGCCGACGGGGAAAAACAAAACACACGGAGGAACAGGTGATCGGCAAACAGTGCCACGGAACCAAACCGCGCGCGAGCCATCGTCGGAGCGGCGAAACAAAATATTTGTGCGGTTTCAACGATTTCCGTGGCGCGCACCGTCGGCTCCCTACAAATTCAATTTCTCCGGGAAGATTCGTTTACCGCCCGTTGCATAACACCCGCGCAGGACACGTGCACGGAGTACCATATGCACCTCCGTCCGCGTCACTCTCGCTCCAAGGAACTGCATAAACGTAATTCCTTCCGACCGGACGATGCGCGTCAACGCGTTATTCTTGGAACGAAACCGATTAACCGAAATCGTACCCAGTTCCTCTTTAGCCTTCCATCATCGTTGTACTTTGGAATAGACACGGATGTTCCATTTTAGATCGTACAGACCTCAATAGAGCAAGAGGTCGAGTGACCGAAAATTAGAATCATCTCTGATCGCTTCTACGATGTTCCCTCTAACAGAAGATCGATTCCTCGCTGCTCGATCGCTTCCCGACAGAACACAGAAACGCCCCGTACCGAAATTGCTGAGAAATCGTACAAGTATCCGAGTATTCGAGCCGAATTTCCCAGCCAAAGCGGTATTGGCACGCTAAATCGTCGCTCCGCGGGAAGAGAAACTTCTCCGCGAACTCGAACTTGGAGTTTATTGGTGTCGGAGGCAGTTTCCACTGGCCGCATTTTTTCCCGTTGTCCCTCCTCCCACTCCTCTTTCCTGAGACTCAGCCGATAAAATTGGAGGGCCAGGCAAATCGAGCGTAACCGGGGAACCCGGTGCTCGATGGTGCTCGAATTCTCGTTGTTCCCCGGAAGTCGATATCGCGTGCGCGCGCTTTGCCGCGACTTTCGAACAGTCGTTCAAGTCCGGGGGAACAATCGGTAACGACTGCGCTCGATGTTCCGCGGTGTCGGTGGGAACACCGGGGCTCGGGCGTTCACGTGCCACCGTAAAATGTCCTTTTTCTTTTTACGACCGCGGGCGACTGTGATTCCGACGGCGAGTTTGTTACATCGGCGAATAAATCGGATAGGAATCCGGACGCGGACACGTTCGACCGTTTCCCGAGAACTCTCGAGAGATGTTCGATAAGAAAGGACGCGGCTGGGACAAGTTACTCCTCGCCAGATGTATCGTGACCCAAATTTTCCTCGGGGTCGACTGTGGGTCACGCGAACGCTGAACGTCGCGAGTGAACTATCGTTTGTTCCGTAGCTCGAGGAGCTGTTTGTCCAATTGAAAATTTCCTAATTAACCCCTTGCCGCACAATGACGAGTGAGACTCGCGATGAGGATTAATTTAATAAACATGAATATTGTTCAGTGCTCATGGATCGAAGCAGAACTATTTTATTACCAATATATTATCTTGAAAGTAAATTTGTACATAAAGTGCAGTGCATTCCTTTGCGATTTTCCTAAACTGAAACATTTTGCAAATAAGGCAAGGGGTTAATATTTCCGCGACAACTATTCTAATGTTGATCCAAGTTAGAGCAACGTGGTTTCGTGCGGAATTATTATTCAAAGAACAATGGAACCTTTTAACGATGCTAATTGTAAGAACACAATAGAACGAATGAAACATCGATCAACCGAATGGAGGTTGACGGTGAAAAGAGTGGTACTCACTGACTAATGTGAGGAAGGGTATATTGTGCTGCTGGAAATGCGGCGGGCTGCAAGCTTCCTCCGGCCTGGAAACGGCGCTTCCGGTCTGCACCTCGACGACGTGACCGTCCCTTCGGTAGAACGACATGCACATGAAGCCGCTCCGGCTGGGGACAGAAAGCAGAGGGGCGTGTGGGTTATAAACAAACGAAAAAACCGGCGCGTCTCCCGTACGCCGCGCGGAACCGCGGTAAAACGTTTCGCCGGGAACAACAGCCGACACTATTTACGGCAACAATGTGGACCGTTGTGGCGGGCGTCCGGCCCGGGCTGTCCCGCTTCTCAAAACACTGCATTATCGAGGCTCTTTTCGCCTTTTTGCCGCGTCGCGTCTAGTCGCGTCGCGTCGCGTCGGTTTTGCGAGACGTTTCAAAAATATTCCGTCCGCGGTAAAAACGTA